CAACGTGAATGCACAATGCCAGCTGTTACCATTCCTAGGGTTGTTTTCACATCTAAAAAAATAACAGCAGCTCCTTACAGTGCCTCACACTTGTAGTCCCAGCTACCCTGGAGGCTGAGGCAGGAGGATCGCTTGAGCCCAGGAGTTCAACGTTGCAGCAAGCTACGATTGCACCGCTGCAATCCAGCCCGGATGACAGAGCAAGACCCTGTCTCAGAATAAAAAAGAATAAGTTCACAAGTGAAGAAATACATTTTTATGAAAATAACTATATTTTCCAAAGGAAAAGAAAAACCACGTGAGGAGAGTGGTGTTGCTCCCCATTTTTGTGACTCTCTTGCATGTCTCACTTTCTAGAAGACAGCTATCAGACTCGCGCTTTTGCATTGGATCTTGCGACAGGTTGTTTTAATTGACGTCTATGAAGAAAATCTGGCATCACATAGATATGTCATTGGAAAAGAGGTCCCCACAGCACCCCTAAAATGGTCTTAAGGGTGCTTCTGCAAAGTCTACAGACCACACTTTGAGAAATGCCATTCTGACTGCCTTGTATGAATCTCTACTCACTTGTTGGAAACATGCACCCCTATTCCCAAGCCCATCGTCTCTCCCCATTGCAGTGAGTCCCCAGACCTGTTTATTCATGCTCCAGTCATGTAGGGCCCCCTTCTTTGGGATACCATGTACTGCTGTGTGTTGGGGCCGGCAGCCTCAGTAAGGGAGCCAAGGGTGACTTGGTGTCAGGCCAGCCACACTCTCCGAGTGTCACTCCCCACCAGCAGTGACTCAGGCGTACCTCCCGGTGTTCCCAGACATCCTGATGAGGAACCGTCCACAAACAGTACTAGAGGTGGTACCGTTCAGACCTATCATGAGGAAAATGGGATTGTCCTCAATGCCTCGTGCTTTTTAAGACAAACCAGCACCTCCAAGACTAGTACAGTGCACAGGAGGGGCCACACCTGGATCTGATGCTTCCACTTCCTTTGCACATGCAGCAGGCCTCGTGCGCCTACCGGCATTCTGTGTCTTCCTGAGAACGAGGGCAGGCCATGGGTGCAGAGTCAGAAAGGAGCCTGTTCCCAGGGCTGTGGCCCAGGCGGCAGCCGCCTGAGACACCTGAGGATCTGGTAACCTCTTCTCCCTCACACCCAGCCCCATGGGTAGTCCCAGCAGCTGGTGACACCATCATCTCCAATAGCCTGGCTTAGGGGAGGGGGGATGGAGAGGACATCCCGGAGGCAGGAAGTCGCCCAAGGTCTTCAGGACTATGAAGTGCCCTCAATTAGCACAAGCATCCTGTGGACCTAGGTGGGGTCGAAATAAAGCAATAAAGCAATAATGTGTGCCATGGCCTTTGGCCAGCCTCTATCTGGCTTTCCCTGTTGTAGCCCTGGGACCTCGGGGAGCCCCACCCCAGCTGGAATTCGCAGGGCGGGCCGGCGTTGGTTGGCCGTGACTCACAGTGACCCTGAGCTGCCTTTCTAGAAGACCCTCCTCCTTCCCTCCCATCCTGCCTCTACACTCCTTTTCCCCTCCCAAGCAGCAACCACATGAACCCAGACAGTGCTCCAGAGAGGTGGAGCCACAGTCAGCAGCTGGGCAACCAGGGGGACAGCGCGGGGAGATGGCAGGGGAGTGGGCTCCGGAAAGGACGTTTGGCATCTTCACAGACCTGCCCAGCCTCCTGGGTTGGCAACTAGGATTTTCTTGGTCCTTCCAGGGGTGGCCTAGACTGGCTTGGAGATGTAGGGGGTCCAGGGAGATGAGGCAAGGCTGGTAGGAACACAAGAAACCCAGGCAGTCATCTGGTCCAGGGCTTTCACGCTTTTCTTTGGAACAGAACTGCGTTTGTTTGTAACCAGGAGCTGCTTTGTAAGAGCCGCAGCCGACAGCCCTGCTGGTTCCTCTCACCTCCCTCTTGTCTACCGCAGCCCCTGACCGTCAGCCCCAAGATGTTGGAACACAGTTTAATAACCATTAGTGCGGTTCATCTGCCCATTTCACAGATGGGAAAATGGATCCCAAGAGGGAAGTCCCTTACCACAGACTTACAGCGAGTTGGGGCTGGCCAGGACCTAAAACCCAGTGCTATTTCCCAGGGTCATTCAGGGACAGTTGGAAGGAGGATACCACTAGGTGCCAGGAGTGCCCACAGAGGAGAGGGGTGCCCAGGGATGAAGCAGAGGAGGGATAGAGGCTGGCACTAAGTCACCAACCACAGAGGAGCAGCCCAGCCTGCTCGACAGACTGTAAAAGAAAAATAACTGCATGCCTCTGGCCTCCTCCCCGTGGCCACCAGGGCAGCATCTGACCATGGGAATAACCACCCTTCTGTTTCCACCTCATCTACCCTCCTTCCCCAGCTCCCTGTCCCCAGGAAGGGGAGCCTCAAGCTGTAGGCAGGGTCTGGCTGGCAAGCCGGGCACTGGGCCACAGCCCGTTTGACCACACAGGCCCTCTGAGATGGTAGAACACAAGCATTTTGACTTTCGGCCTTCCTGTGTCCCCAGCCTCCTCCTGCCCCAGGGAGGGCAGGGCTGTGATTTTGCACATTAGTGGGTGACAGTTTGTATCCTGGTGTCCCTCGTGTCCATACGGCTCCGACACACCCTCCTGATCATGAGGCCAGCGTGGACTCTGTGTGCCCAGGTCCCCGCCCGGCCCTGACTCCTGCATTTTTCTAGGGAGAGAGCTCATGGCTTTTGACAGATTCTCAAATGGGGCTGTGGTCCCGGAGATGGAGAACCCCTGCAGAAGGGGAGGACGGGCCTTCCAGGGAGGAGGGGGCAGAAATGAAGTAGAAAGGGCACTGCTGCTTTCTCTGTTCCCTGCCAGGGGCTTTACATGTAGCACTTGGTGTTGTTCCCCTTACCTCCTTGTGATGCTGGGGTCACTGTCCCCATTTTACAGATGAGGAAACAGGCTCAGCAGTGGCAGGTTGCTTGCTTCAGAACGCAGCCCTGGCTGAGGGATTGAAAAAGCCGGGGCAGGGCCAGAGGTTGACGGCGGGTATTGCACCTGCTTCTACAAGGGAGTGCAGCTCTGGAACCTGCACCAGCCAGTGCTTCAGAAGCCTCCCCCGACTGCATCCACACCAGACCTTGAGCCCCCAGGTCCTGGTTCCCAGCAAATTTTTTCAGCAGCCAGAGAGCCTGGCACAGGGCCTGGCAGTTCGCCTCCAAGGTTCATTCCTGCCACGTGGAAAACAGAGTCCTCACAATTGGCCTCTTGTGTCCTCATTGAGGCATGAATGAAGCCTTAATGAGGGTGGGGGCAGAGTGCCCACTAACCATGGCAGGTAGGACCTGGCTGGCAGGTGGGCTCCAAGGGGCTCCCCCCAGGAGGCTCCTCCCACCCCCAGGCATGACACCCAGGCCCTCCAGAGCCCCCAGCAAAGACTCTTTATTTGCTTGTAGCAATGTCAGCTGCCAGACCACAGAGCCCATCCCTGCCCTCCATCTGTCCAGCTCAGCCACCCTCTCACCACCCCCTGGCAGATAAGAGCAATGAGATATGCAGAACAGGCCCAGGGCTGAGGCCGCGCCGCCCCACCCCCATCCTTCCTGAAATTCCAACAGCACAGAAGGCGTGGGCCTTGGTGTCTCCATCTGTAGACAGTGTATAATGATGTCCAGCCTGTTTGCCTTCCAGGGATTTCTAAGAATCATGTGGGGAAGGTATTTTAAAAGTTCAGAATACAAACAAAATGACAAAGAGCAAACTCAGCTGGTCACCCACACATTCCCTGCCCAGACTTCCCGTCCCCAGGGTACTGGACCCCAGCCACCTGGGCTGGGAGCCTTTCTTCTCTGGGCTGTGCTGGGGAAGCTGTGGGAGCCCCGAGAATGAGGACGGCCCGCAGTGGGTGGGCCTGCTTTGCCCCCCACCCAGGGATGCCTCTTGCTCCCCAGGATGGCGTGAGGACAGTCTCCGGATGGGAATGTCAGCATTTCCTGGTCTGTGTAAGGCGCCAAACTAGGGTCAGGGACTGCAGTGTAGCTCATACCCAAGGATGGCAGAAATTGGGCGGGGGTGGGGGCGGGGAAGCTTGAGGACAGGGAGCAGGCGTAACTACCCCTTTCACATGGAGTGGCACAAAGTTTCGTCCCCACCCCAGGGCAGGCATGTCATGTTTCCTTACTTCTCCAAAGCCCATCACTCCGTTTTAAGCTCGGGGTCTCATGACCTACTTTAGAGGAAGGTCACAGGATTCTTCAGGGCCTGCTTCAGGGGAGGACAGCAGTCAGAGAGACCTTCCTGCATCGGCTGCCACCTCAGATGCCAGGGTGCCATATTCTGGGGTGGTGTGTCCTGAGCCCCCAAACCCAATTCCTCCCTCAGACCCAGGGAAGCTCTGCTCCAGCGGCTTCTGCTGCGGCCCCACCACACTGAGTGTCACTCGCCTCCAAGCTACTCCCCTCCCATCGGGAAGATTCCACTCAGTACCTTTCTGAGGGAGTCCTGGTGAGGTTTCCTTCTGGGTGCCTGGCAGGCTGTCCTTACAACCCCGAAACCCCCAAGGCAAAGGAACACTCAGGCTGCATCAGCTACAGAAGGAGCAGTAAAAACGTCGGAAGCAGGAAGAAAACACAAATAAATATCAATAAACCATCCTGTCACAAGGCAGTTTTGTCAATTCCAAATTTTGCCACGATGGAGAAGCAGCTGCTTGCACCGAGGCGGGCCACCCTTGGCTTCCTCCTCTGGAAAACCAGAGAGACAAAGGTCAGAGGCTGTCCCAGGAGAGGGCCACAAGCCAGGACCCGCACAAACTGCAGAGCCTGCAGAGGCCAGTCCCCACTCTTCTCAACTTGGAGGTAAAGACAAACAGGAGGGGCCTGCCCGGCCCCTGAGGGAAGTTCTGCAGACGCTCCCCACTGGGGCTCTGGGAGGCAGCGTTGCCTCCAGGGGCCTGTGCCTACTTCTCCTGGGGATGGTGGGTGAGCTGGGTGGGGCAGCCAGCCCTGACCTCTGGGCATCCTTTGCTCTTGCAGGACCTGGGCATGGAGTCGACCTCACTAGATGATGTTCTGTATCGCTACGCCAGCTTCCGGAACCTGGTGGACCCCATCACACACGACCTCATCATCAGCCTGGCACGCTACATCCACTGTCCCAAGCCGGTAGGGTGGCTGTGGTCCGAGCCAGCCAGGTCCCGGGGTGTGCGGTGGGTGCCTTTCAGGGCAGAGCAGCTTTATGCCCAAGGAGGACAAGCCCATCCTGCAGGTGCCAAGAGCCTGAGGTGCTCTCCCTTGGCGCCACCAGCACAGATTGGTTTTGTTTGGCCCAGGGGGTGAATTCACTGCCAACATTTAAAAACCAGAATTTTTCACATGATCCCTATATTCGGCTGCCCTTGAAAAACTGGAAGCTCCAGCAACATGAAGCCCTCATTTCTGCAGGGCTGGAGCTAAGTAGCCATCCCTGTTATACGGGGCCAAGGCCACCACATACAGTTGTACAGGTTGTGCCTTGCACAAAAGCATGCATACAGAGGGGTGGCGGGGTAGGGGCGGAAGGGGAAAGTTCAAATCCAGCCCTCTCTCTACCCACCAAGCCGTGAGCCCTGGTGCAAACCTGTGTCCCCCTGGAGGTGAACTTTTTCTTATTTGCACAAAGGTGTCATAGAAAGCTGGCCGGGGCCCTGCATGGGGCTGTCCACTTTGCCTCAGTCCCACCACTCCCAGATGTCTTCACCTCTGAGGCTGAGTGTCCTTTGACACCCATCCCTTCACTCATGTCCTCTTCCTGCTGGCCCTGGGAGCTCGGAAGGGAAAGCTCCATGGCTCTCCAGGCTCCACATCTGCCGCTCAGCCCCTCCTGGATGGGAGGTTCTGTCCTGTTCCTGCAGTTCCAGGTCTAGGCTTCCCCGGGGCTATGCAGCTGGACCCAGTGGGAAGGGGAGGGCTGGGCGGGGACATTCCCACACTTGAGCGCTTCTCTGTTGCTTTGGTTTTTTCTGTCTCATCCCTCAATTTCCAGTGGCTTCCAAAAGAAGTGCTTCCCCGCTGGCAGTCAGGAAACCAGAGCAGGATGAAGGGGTGCGGGAGGGAAGTTTTTCCTTTTGGTGTAGGATCTAGGCCAGGAGTGAGATGGTTCCCAAGCCCACCCCTCGCTCGGCCTGGACACAGACTTGACCGTGGTCCTACAGTGAGCTTGAGCCTTGCTCTGGAAAGGCGTTTCCTGGGGCTGAGCTCCATCTGCGGCTTTGTCGGGGGCCTTCTCTCTGACTCTGGGGCTACCTGATACGAAGGCTTTGAGGTGGGGGCCCAGCTGTGGAGGGCTGGGAGATGGCCAGGGTCAGGAGCACAATGTTGCAGAAGGTCGGGATGCAGGGCCCAATGGGAGGGGAAGGAAAGCTGGTGTTGAGGAAGCCTTGAGGCCTGATTGGTGCCAGGAGCCACGGGGCGCTGGCTGGGGCTGGCGCCTCTGTCGCTTCTCATGCAGTTCCACCTGGTTCTGCCTTGGGGGGCGGGGGAAGGGACGGGAGTCAGGCCTGTGAGGAGGCCTTGCCGGGTGCCAGACCCTGCCTTTCCTAGAGCAGGAATGGAGTTGCTCAGAGATGAGACAGCGAAAGGCAATGGGACTCTCAAAAAAGCAAAAAGGAAACAGGAGGGCTATGTGTACGCCCATCTTTGAGTTGAGGAAAACAAACTTCAGTCAAATGATCTGAGCAAGGTTACACCTCCGAGGAGAACCGTGGGTGTGATTTGGGCCTATGCAGTGACTCAGAGCTGGGCGGGACACAGGCCGGGGGTCCCTGGGTGGTCAGTGCCCAAGGGGCAGGAGGAGGGGCCTGGTGGAAGCAGCTGAGCTCCCCTCCCTCCCCAACCTGCCCCTCACAGGTTGCCTCACGGACGGCCTGTGTGGGGAGAAGGACCCACCCTCTCAGAGAGAGGCAGGCCAGGGAGTGGGTAAGGGCCATTGGGAGACCCTGTGAGACAGGGCCAGGCGAGGCCAGGAGGAGGGGCGGGAACTCCTGCCTTCTGATCTCCCCTTTCTGTGTGGGTAGGGCGGGGCCGGGGGGTGCCTACCTGGGTGTTGTGGTCCATTCAGGTAGCTGTAACAAGTTATTGTAGACCGGGGGCTTACAAAAGTAGAAATTTATCTCTCACACTTCTGAAGGCTGGAAGTCTGAGATCTGGGTGCCAGCCTGGTTGGTGACTGGCAAGGACCTTTTTCTGGGTTACAGACAGTCACCTTCTTGTGTCCTCACATGGCAGGAAATGGGCAAAGGAGCACGAATCCCTTTGTCAGAGCTCCACCCCCGTGGCCTAATCACCTCCCAAAGGCCCCACCTCTGAATACCATCACCCTGGGAATTAGGTTTCAACATGTGAATTTTGGGGACATACCAACATTCAGTCCATTGCATGGTGTAACCTTCCTCAAACCACTTCATTACCTGGACTTTGTTTTCCTCAAAACAAGTCAGACCCTGCTGGAGTGGGTGAGCCCTGCTGAAGCCCAGAGACCTGGGGGGCCCCTTTCGTGCCCATGTGGCAAGCGAGGCTCTCTGGATGAGGCAGGGGTGGGAGGTCCCCAGGCTGGTGGTAGGAGCAGCCCCTCCATCCACCCCAGAGGGCTGACCAGGATGTCCTGGTCAGAGCAATTTGCATCTGAGTTCATGTCAGCCCACGTTATGGGTCTAGACATTGTGGACAGAGGTGTCAAGACCGGAGAGCTCGTTCCAAAGGTAAATTGGATACTACACGGACCCTCACTGAAAATCCTTCAGCGAGGGGCCGTGCTGTAGTTTAAATAAAACCCAAACTCCTCACCTGGCTTTGCCTGAGTCTCTGAACTCCCCTCTCCTACTTGCCACCCTGCGAACTCTGCTCTAGCATGTGGGCCTTCCTCCTCTGCCCCTGACACCTCCACACCCTCTCCTACCTTAGGGACATCGCTACTCCCTCTAAGTGCTCCAGCCTCCTCTGTCTGAGCTTCCTTCTCCTGAGTTCAGACTGAGCCTCCGGCCTCTGAGAGGCCTTCGTTGACAAGCCTGCCTCATGGAGGCTCCTGATCAGCCTGTCTCGAGCCCCATTTATTTTTCCATTCATTTCTCCATTTTACTTACTGGTCTCTGAAATTACCTTGCTTATTTACTTGTTGGCTAATTTATGGTCTGTTTTCCCCACTAGAATATAAACTCTGAAGGGAAGGGTGTCTGTCTTGTTCACAATTCCATCCTGCACCAGGCGGGAAGGAGGTAACATATTCCATTGTGAAGTTTGAAGGGAGTTTAGTGAAGGGTTGAGGACAGGATAAAGGAAGTCAACAGGGGATGTTGAGACATCCAGAGACAGCCGTGGTAGGAAGTTGTTTCACAGGAGGACAAGCTGTATTGCCAGAGGCAGGGTGAGAACACCTGGTCCGGAGCCATGCTGCATTATCCGTTGCCATATAGCAAACTACCCCAAAACAACAGACATTTATTGTTATAGTCTCTGCAGGTCAGGATTGCAGAGGCATGGTGGTGCCTGCCTCTAGTCTCAGCTACTAGGTAGTTTAGCTTTGGGTCTCTCAAGATATTGGTCAGGGCTGCAGGTGTCAGAAGAATTTGCAGAAGTTGGCAGCTCTGCCAGACTCCGTGGCTTACGCCTGTAATCCCAGCACTTTGGGAGACCGAGGGGGGCAGATCACCTGAGATTGGGAGTTGGAGACCAGCCTGACCAACATGGAGAAACCCCATGTCTACTAAAAATACAAAATTAGCTGGGAGTGGTGGCACATGCCTGTAATCCCAGCTACTTGGGAGGCTGAGACAGGAGAATCACTGGAACCCGGCAGGCGGAGGTTGCCGTGAGCCGAGATCGCACCATTGCTCTCCAGCCTGGGCAACAAGAGCAAAACTCCATCTCACCAAAAAAAGAAGAAGTTGGCAGGTCCACTTCCAGGGCGGCACACTCGCCCTGTAGCCTCTCCATAGGACTGCTTAAGTGTCCTCACATGATGGCAGCTGGATCCCACAACAGGTGATAATATAGAAGCCATAATGCCTTTTTTTTTTTTTTTTTGAGACAGAGTCTCACTCTATCACCTAGGCTGGAGTGCAGTGGCGCGATCTCGACCCACTGCAACCTCTGCCTCCCGGATTTAAGCAGTTCTCCTGCCTCAGCCTCTCAAGTAGCTTGGGATTACAGGCACCTGCCACCACACTCAGCTAATTTTTTGTATTTTTAGTAGAGACGGGGTTTCGCCATGTTGGCCAGCCTGGTCTCAAACTCCTGACCTCAGGTGATCCACCTCGGCCTTCCGAAGTGCTGGGATTACAGGCGTGAGCCACTATGCCTGGCCTTGTTTTTTTGTTTTGTTTTGTTTGTTTGTTTTGAGAAAGGGTCTCACTCTAATGCCCAGGCTGGAGTGCAGTGGTGTGATCATAACTTACTGCAGCCTGGAACTACCAGGCTCAAGTGATCCTCCCACCTCACCCTCCTGAGTAGCTGAGATTGGAGGCAGGCACCACCATGCCTAGCTAATTTTTTGGATTTTTTTCTTATAGACATGGGGGCCTCACTATGTTGCCAAGGCTGGTCTCAAACTCCTGGCCTCAGGCAATCCCCCTGCCTTGGCCTCCCAAAGCACTAGGATTGCAGGTGTGAGCCCAACTCCCACAATACCTTTTAAGACCCAGTCTCAGAAGTCACAAACCATCATTGCTGCCATTCTATTGATTCTGATGATTCTGTTGCTCACCCAGACCAGCCCTGCTACAATGTGGAAGGACGCTACACAGGGGCACAGATGCCAGGAGCCAAGAGCAGCAAGGCTGTCTCGGAGGCTGGCTGCTGCACATGCCGAAGTGTGGGAATCAGAATAAACCCCCCATCTGTCTCTCCTCCTGCCCTCTGGTCTTGCTGCCACTGCTCCCATTAGCTGAACCCAAGAGGAAGCCAGGGGGAAGACAGCCCCGTGACGCGGTCTCTAGAGCCCAGCCTTCTGAGCAGAGAAGGGCAGAGTGGACTGTGGGGCGAGAAGAAACAGAAAAGCCGGCACACAGTCTCTGCATCTGGAATGGTGTCCAGCATAATGAGCGGGACAGTCAACATTTGATGAATGTATGAATGAATTTACGAATGAGGGAGGGATACCCTTGAATGGAGGGCAGTGGAGGGCTGTGCTTGTCGGGGTCCTGGAGCAGTTACAGAGGTGCCTGGGGAGTGAAGATGGCAGATGGTATCACTGCCTGATGGCTGACAGCCAGAGCAGTGTCGGGTGCTGGGACCCCTTCCAGGTCAGCCTGCAGGTCGGCATGCCATCTTTCCTGACAGATGAATGCGAAGCCCCTCAAACACGCTCTGCCCCAGGACCTGGGCAGCCTTACTGGGAAAGTCTGGAGAGGCTGCTGCCCTGACCTGCACTCACAGTCACCTTGACCGTGCCACATTCCACTCCTGCCTTCTTCAGGGATCGGGGGAGGACTGCAGAGAGTTGACTCTGCACACAGTCATTGCGCCTCCTGGGTGGGTTAGGACTCTGCTGTACATAACAGAAGCCCAGGCAGGCTGGCTCCAGCAAGGAAGAAAACGTGTCCCTCAGATACCGAGGTGTCTTGTGGTGCCCACAGACAGCCAAGTTAGATCAAGGTGCTAAAACTGTAGATAAGGCAGATCACTTGAGGTCAGGAGTTCAAGACCAACCTGGCCAACATGGTGAAACCCTATCTCTACTAAAAATACAAAAATTAGTTGGGCATGGTGGCGTGCGCCTGTAATCCCAGCTACTCAGGATGCTAAGCCAGGAGAATCACTTGAGCCAGGGAGGCGGAGGTTGCAGTGAGCTGAGATGGTGCCACTGCACTCCAGCCTGGGCGACAGAGCAAGACTCCATCACTGAAAAAAAAAAAAAAAAAAAGAAAAGAAATGAAGACCCTTAGTCCCAGCTACTTGGGAGGCTGATGCAGGAGGATTATATGAGGCCAGGAATTCAATACCAGCAAGGGCAATATAGTGAGACTCCCATCTCTTTAAAAAAAGAGAGAAAGAAATGACCCCAAAACCCAGGGAAAGATGTCTTTTTTTTTGGTTTTTTGTTTGTTTGAATTTTTTATTTTAATTTAATTAATTAATTAATTAATTAATTTTTGGACGGAATTTCACTCTTGTTGCCCAGGCTGGAGTGCAATGGCGCGATCTTGGCTTACCTCAACCTCCGCCTCCTGGGTTCACGCGATTTTCTTGCCTCAGCCTCCTGAGCAGCTGGGATTATAGGCATGCACCACCATGCCCGGCTAATTCTGTATTTTCAGTAGAGATGGGGTTTCTCCATGTTGGTCAGGCTAGTCTCGGGCCTGCTCTGCCTCCCAAAGTGCTGGGATTACAGGCGTGAGCTACCACGCCCAGCCTGTTTGTTTGTTTGTTTGTTTGTTTGTTTTTGACAGAGTCTCACTCTGTCGCCCAGGCCGGAGTGCAATGGCGTGATCTCAGCTCATTGGAACCTTCACCTCCTGGGTTCAAGCAATTCTCCTGCCTCAGCCTCCCAAGTAGCTGGGACTACAGGTGCCCGCCACCACGCCTAGCTAATTTTTTGTATTTTTAGTAGAGACGGGGTTTCGCCATGGTGGCCAGGCTGGTCTCAAAACTCCTGACCTTAGGTGATCTACCCACCTTGGCCTCCCAAAGTGCTGGGATTACAGGCGTGAGCCACCGTGCCCAGCCAGCTATCTGTTTTTATACTCAGGTTTGGTAAAGAGTACACAGCTTGTAGCAATGCGATTGGACAAAGGGTGTGATTCAATGGTGATAGGCTGAGGGGACCCAGGAAGGCTGTCTGCGCAGATTCTTCTTGGCCTCTCTGTGCAGTGTTCCTTCCTACCCCTCTGGAATGGTCTTCAAGACAGAAGGGAGAGAGTGACCTACCTAGTTTTATGGCTTGCTTTGAGGGAAAGGGGTTCTAGTTTCTGTGACCTGCCTTGGGGAAGAAGAATTCTGGTTTCTGTGACTCACTCTGGGGGAGAAGGGCTAGAGACAGGAGGGCAGCAGAAGGGCAGAAAAACTTTGCTTCTGAGGCTTTCCAATTTCCTTTAGTTCAAAGCTCTCTGCTGGCCCCGGCACCATGCTTTGGAATTGTGTTCTGAGCTCCAAAAAGTTCATGCAAACACTGCTCAGAGGAGATGCCCAATGCATCGCAGCTGCTCAGTACATGTTCAGACAAGCAGAAGGGAACTCTCACTCCGGAGAGAACATCAGCTCACTTGTGGTCTCAAGGCAACTCTATGAGGTGTCCATATCTATTGTTCCTGTCTAGCCAGTGAGGAGCCCAAGGCTCCTCAGTTCTCCCTGATAGCGGCAGATGCACGTCCATCCGGAGCCTGGCCCTGTGCGTGGCTGCCCCCTTGTGGCAGTGGCAGTGCAGTGATGCCCCCTTGTCCTCTGCTCTGTGTGTGTGTGTGTGTGTGTGTGACGGACTCTTGCTCTGTCGTGTGTGTGTGTGTGTGACGGACTCTTGCTCTGTCGCCCAGGCCAGAGCGCAGTGGCATGATCTCGGCTCACTGCAACCTCCACCTCCCGGGTTCAAGTGATTCTCCTGCCCCAGCCTCCCGAGTAGGGACTACAGGCGCCCACGACCATGTCTGGCTAATTTTTGTATTTTTAGTAGAGACAGGGTTTCACCATATTGGCCAGGCTAGTGTTGAACTCCTGACCTTGTGATCCGCCCGCCTTGGCCTCCCGAAGTGCTGAGATTATAGGCGTGAACTCCCGCGTCTGGCCTCTGTTCTCTTCTTTTAAGGCTCAGCTGCCCGGGCTGAGAGGGTGGACAGGGATTTTGGCCCCAGATTTTGGAAACCCTGGGAAGTGATTGAAGGAGGAGCTGCAGCTGAGGAGCTCAGTTCTAAGCTTTGGAGACTGGCAACATTCTGTCCTGGGGTGGTTCCAGGAGCAATGCTGGGCAGACCACCTGATCCCACCCATGGTCTTTGAACTGGTGCTTCTCCACCTCGGCTGTACTAGGGAATCACTTGGGGAACCTGAGGTCAGAAGTTCGAGACCAGCCTGGCCAACATGGCAAAACCCTATCTCTACTAAAAATACAAAATTAGCTGGGCATGGTGGCGGGTGCCTGTGATCCCAGCTACTCCGCAAGCTGAGGCTTCCCCGTGTGGCCAGGTGGGGTGGCTCACACCTGTAATCCCAGCACTTTAGGAGGCCCAGGAGGGCAGATCACCTGAGGTCAGGAGTTCGAGACCAGCCTGGCCAACTTGGTGAAACCCTGTCTCTATTAAAATACAAAAAATTAGCTGGGCGTGGTGGCAGGCGCCTGTAAATCCCATCTACTTGGGAGGCTGAAGCAGGAGAATTGTTTGAACCTGGGAGATGGAGGTTGCAGTGAGCCGAGACCACACCACTGCATTCCAGCCTGGGCAACAGAGTGAGACTCCATCTCAAAAAAAAAAAGAAAAAAAAATCCCCGTTCCTGAGCCACCCACCCATCACTGGGGTTGTTGTTGTTTGGTTTGGTTTGGTTTTTTGAGACTAGGTCTCACTCTGTCTGGAGTGCAGAGGTGTGATCACAGCTCACTGCAGCCTTCACTTTCGGGGCTCAACAGCCTCCTACCTCAGCCTCCCGGGTAGCTGGGACTGCAGGCACAAGCCACCATGCTGGGCTTCGTTTTTTGTTTTGGTTTGTTTGTTTGTTTGTTTGTTTGTAGAGAGCAGGTCTCACTATATTGCCCAGGGTAGTCTTGAACTCCTGGGCTCAAGTGATCCTCCTGCCTCAGCCTCCCAAAGTGCTGGGATTACAAGAGTGAGCCACAGCACCTGGCCCATCAGTGAACTTTAAAGCTCCCCTGAGATTCCAGTGTGCAAGATTCCAAGGTGAAGAAGCACAGCTCTAGATGGGCCATCTCCAGTGTCACATCCTATTCTCCCTTTGTTTTTATTTATGCTTTTTTTTTTTTTTTTTTTTGTATTTTTAGTAGAGACGAGGTTTTGCCATGTTGGCCAGGCTGGTCTCGAACTCCTGACCTCAGGTGATCTGCCCACCTTGGCCTCCCAACGTGCTGGGATTACAGGCGTGAGCCACCGCACCCAGCCCCTATTCTCCCCTTGAGCTCCAAGGTCAGCTCCCAGCATGCCCCTCTCCCTGAACCTGTGCTGGCCATGGCCTCCTTGTTGGAGGCCCAGTGGCCTCTGGGTGGGGGTCTAACCGCATTAGCCACTCTTCTCCTTGCTGTCTGGACTCTGCTCCTCCTGCTGCTCTGACGGAGTCTTCTCGGACCGCCGTGTGTCCAGTGTCCTCTCTCCCTTCTGCTCGGCTCATTCTCTGGCCAGGGGTTTAATCTTACTGATGAATGTGTCCAGCCTGGACCTGTCTTGAGCCCCAGCCCCGTAAGTCCAGTGGCATCCGCAGCTGGAGGTCTTGTGAGCCCCTCAAACTTACCGTGGCCCCACGTGGCTCACCCTCCTGCCTTCTCACCCTCTTCTTGTCCTGAGCCCCTTGACTTCTACTCAGGTCCCAAGCCCAAAGCCTAGACCTTCCTCATCCTCCCTGCCCACACCTTCTCCATCCAGCATATCAGTCAGCTGCGTGACCTCTGTCCCCTCAGCCTCTTCCAATAGCCTGGCCCTGAGTCACCCTCTCCATCTCCTGTCCACCCCTCTCTCCATCTCCCAGTCCAAGGAACAGCCCCCTTCAGGGACTCCCCTGCAGCCCTCATGACCAGCTCCTCCTGCTTCACCCACCTTACTTCCCCCCCCACAGTAGTGTGGCCAGGCTCAGCAAGAAGCCAAGTCTAGGAACCAAAAGGTGTCAGCTCCAGGGGTGGGGAATGAAACTGTAAAGGCAGATGCTCACCTGCCTCTACATCTGCAACACACAAGAGTGACACACAGGTGTAGCACACAGGTGTGACACAGGCACAAGTGGCAGGTGATACAAGCTTATTCATCAGACGGCCAGGCACCAGGAAGCTGGGGGCAGGGGTGGGGATGGGCTGTGAACTGGAGCCCAGGGGGCTCCTCCAAATCCACTCAGTTCAGTCTTGGACCCTCCTTTGCCTCCTGGGTCCCTCCACAGATGCCTCTCTCCTTTGGAAATTCAACTCCCATCTTCCCACCTCCTCTCTCTCGTCCCCCTTCCTCAGATTCTCCTTCTCTTGCCTTCCCATCAGCCCCAGGCCCATCCCCAGCCCTCTGGGCCTCAATTTCCCCCACTGCATAATGGGGATAACGAAAGTATCTCCTGCCCTGGGGTGCTGTGGGAATTCCATAACCTTCTTGCATGATGTCTGGTGTGCAGGGCTGACAGTGGCTTGAACCATGGAGGGACCAGATGTGATCAGGCCCCAGGCCTTCACCTGCCCTCATGTCAGTAACACACCCCATGGCTGCCACATCCCCAAGCCCTGCCACAGACTGTTTCCTCCTCACTCAGAGATGCCTCACGTTTTCTTTCTCCATCCGAAATCACTAACCCATCGCTCTCAAAAGCTGAGCTCAGCCTGGGCGTGGTGGCTGACACCTGTAATCTTAGCACTTTGGGAGGCCGAGGTAGGTGGGTCACTTGAGGTCAGGAGTTCAAGACCAGCCTGACCAACATGGTGAAACCCCATCTCTACTAAAACTACAAAAATCAGCTGGGCATGATGGCGGGTGCCTGTAATCCCAGCTACTCGGGAGGCTGAAGCAGGAGAATCGCTGGAACTCAGGAGGCGGAGGTTGCAGTGAGCCGAGATCGCCCCATTGCACTCCAGCCTGGGCAACAAAGCAAGACTCCGTCTCAAAAAAATAAATAAAATTAAAACAAAGCTGAGCTCAAATCTAAGCCTAGGCAGAAGTAACCTTCCCTCCTTGCCCTGCCAGAGTTCCCTAGGCTGGTGCCGGTATTCACTTAGAGAGCGTGCCTGGAGAGGTCGCTGTGGGTTGGCCTCTATTCAAAGCACTGTACTAGTAGTGACTCATTTAATCCTCACAGAAACTCTTGTGAGGGCTGTACTGTAATCCCTTCACAGATGTGGCTTGGAGGCACAGAGAAGTCAAGCAGTTGTCCAAGGCCACACAGAACGGGACAAAGCCAGGACTTGAATCCCCGCAGTTTGGCCCCAGGTCTTTGCTCTTCACTACTCAATACGCTGTTTGTCCGCTAGCAGAGGCGTGTGGGAATTGTAATGACAAAGCGGCCTACTGAGCACCCATTCTGTGCCAGGCGCCATGCTGACCACTGCGCGTGGTTAACGCGCCGGACCTCCCCACACCGAGTCGTTGGCCGCGTGTGGGTTCACATCCGAGCCCAGCGCTTGCATCCAAGCCTCAGCACTGGCTCACTGGCAAGAGCACACTGTGGCCCTCACTGCCTGGAGTGACTCATGCCCTCGCCCTGTCCAGCACCAGTTTGGCTCCGGGGACTGTTGGATGGACTTCCCTAGGGATGTAGTCGGAGTCTGTAGCATCTTTCAGCTGCATCATTTAACCCAGTGTCTGCCATAACAAAAAATCACAGACTGGTGGTCTAAACAGCAGACAGTTCGTTTCTCACAGCTCTAAAGGCCAGAAATCCAAGGCTGGCTGGTGGGTTTCCTCCTGAGGCTCTCTCCTACGTCTGTCGGCCCCTCCTCCTCCTATGACCTCCAGTGGTCATTCCTCTGCATGTCTGTGTCCTCATTTCTTCTTCTTAGGACACCAGTCATATAGGATTAGGGCCTACTCCTCTGACCTCATTTTACCTTAGTCACCTCTTTAAAGACCTTGTCTCCAAATACAGCTGCATTCCAAGGTACTAGGGGTTAGGGACATCAATATGTGATTTTCAGTGGATACAGTTCAGCCTATGACACCCAGGGTTTCAAACTCAAGTGCCGATGGGCCAGACAAGAATGCCTGTGAATGAATTGGGCTGGGAAAGACTTGGCCTCTTCATTCATTTGTTCTCACTTTTGAGGGAGACACTGGTAAAAATATCTCATTTTCCTCTTTACTATGTGAAATACAAGGACATGAACATTTGTTCTTGGCCGTATCCTAGCTTCCTAGAACAAGTGCCTGGCTCCCAGTAAATGCTCAATAAATCTGCTGAGCAAGAGAATGCACAGAGCAGCCCTGGACATTGGGGAGTGGCAGGGACCATGATGAGTCCCAGCCAGGGGGTCAGCAGGCACTTGGCTCCAGCCAACTGTTGTCCAATCTCCCGGAATCCAGACTTATATACATCTGTTTTTCAGTGCTAGCAACTAATTCACAAAAACTAAAACCATCCTGCAGACCTGTTTGTAGCCACTGCCATCTGCCTAGGGTGCCCACCCTAGGCCAGCAAAGCAAGGCCTCCCCCAGCTCAGCCTGGGGGAGCTGGGCTCGTACCTGGGAGACAGGAAGCCTGGGGGCTGAGACTGGTGCACCCAGCCACTCAGGGCCCCACCACCCCTGGTTGCCTCTGCAGGAAGGCGATGCGCTGGGCACCATGGAGAAGCTGTGCCGGCAGCTGACATACCACCTCAGCCCCCACTCCCAGTGGAGGCGGCACCGGGGACTGGTGAAAAGGAAGCCACAGGCTTGGTGAGTTACAGTCCCCTGGGTGGGTCTATGCCAGACTGAGTGTGTGATACAGGGCGCCCCTCTCAGGAATGTAGGGAAGGGAAGGGCGGGAGTCATGGGGGGCGGTCATAGAAGCTGCCTGAAAGAGGTAAGATGGAAGGAGGATTCCAGGATGGGGAAACAGCTAGAGGGGTACCCTGGTCTGGTGGGTGGGAGCTGGGGAGTATGGGCCCACTGAGATGGGATGGGCAGGAGGAAGATTTGAGAAATTTCTAATTCCTGGTGTGCTAAAGTGGGCACTCCCTGCCAAGCACAGTGTTTGGCTCATGCCTGTAACCCCAGCACTTTGGGAGGCTGACGCAGGTGGATCACTTGAGGTCAGGAGTTCGAGATCAGCCTGACCAACATGGCGAAACCCTGTAAAAATTCAAAAATTAGCCAGGCGTGGTGGCATACACCTGTAATCCCAGTTTCTTAGGAGGCTGAAGCAGGAGAATCACTTGAACCAAGGAGGCGGAGGTTGCAGTGAGCAGAGATGGCGCCACTGCACTCCAGCCTGGGCAACAGAGCACTCCCTACTGAACTCCTCAGTTATCTCGGATGTCCTCAGAGGGACCCAGACCCCAGCCATGTCCCTGGTCCATACAGCAACAAGGGGGTTCAGAGTCCCTTGAAAATTGGTAGGGGTTGAGGGGCAAATAGGACACAGAAACTGTGGGCTGTGATAACACTGTAGGAAGCAAGTAGAGGGGAGCCTGGAAGGAAGGCTTCCTGGAGGAGGAAGCACACCTGTCTTTTTGCAAATGGTAGCCCAGTGGTGTGCCTTCACAAAGACTCTGGCAAGGCCTTGGTGCTGCTGTTAGCTCATCCCAGAAGCTCTCTGCAGGCTGGGGAGGGAGGGGCTGTCCCCTTTCCTCATGAAGAAGAAAGAACTCTGGTGCCTCCTTCTGTTCTGGACCCGCCCCCCACCCCCGCCCACAACCAGGAGATGGATCCTGGAGAGGCCCATTCCCAGGTGGATGAAGAGTGTAAGGCTGTCCTGGTGTTGGCCACGGGAGGGGCTCCACCTGGGTATCGGGGACATATATGGGGATACAGCAAGACAGGGGGCCCTTGGAACCTGAAAAGCCATGAGGAGACTGAGCTAGTTCTTTAGCATTGGAAAGCTGGAAGTTTGAGCTCTGCTGGAAGGGCCTCTCCTGGTTCCCCACACACACACGCATGCTCAGTCTATTCTTCATTCGGAAGCCATGTCATGAGGTCTCATTCCCCTCGGGTGGAATCTCATGGCACCTGAATGAAATTCAAGCATGGGCCTCTGATTTGCCCTCCTCGCCCCCTGGTCTCACCTCTCCTGCTCTCCCACCCCAGCCACACTGGCCTTCCTGCTGGTTCACAGACACACCAGGCCCTTTCCAGCCTCGGGGCCTTTGTGCCCTCTGCTGGAACCTTCAGCAAACTCTTCTGATGGCCCATGCTTGCTTTTTCATCTGTCAGTTCACACATTACCTTCTCCTGAGTAGCCACAGCCCCACGCTACTATGTCGCCCCACACTCACATGGTTTTGTGTGTGGTCTGTCTCCCCCGGTAGAGGAAGAACAGGGATTTTGTCCATCCTGTTCACCACTGTGACCCTAGTGTCTAGGATACTGCCTGGCACACAGGTGAGTTTAACACACGTTTGTTAAAAGAACAAATGGGCCGGGCACGGTGGCTCACGCCTATAATCCCAGCACTTTGGGAGGCCGAGATGGGCGGATCACCTGAAGTAGAAAGTTCAAGACCAGCCTGGCCAACATAGTGAAACCCTGTCTCTACTAAAAATAAAAAAATTAGCTGGGCATGATAGTGCACACCTGTAATCCCAGCTACTCAGGAGGCTGAGGCAGGAGAAACACTTGAACCTGGGAGGCAGAGGTTGCAGCGAGCCAAGATCGCGCCATTGCACTCCCCTCTGGACAAGAGTGAGACTGTCTCCAAAAAACAAAAAGCAACAAATTGGGGAGGAGATATCACTGTTGTCAATTGACTGGTTAGGATGACCCAGCTGGTAAGCGGTGGGGCTGAATTCAAACCCAGCTCAGGCTGTTCACTACCACACTGCTTCCCTGGTGGAATGGCATCGATAATAGCACCAACACTTAAATCAAGCTGCACAGATGGCTGACAGCATTCCAAGCATTTAAATGTCACGCCTTGAGAGCTTTACCTTCCAGCTCCCTGGGGCTGGACCCCAGTCAGAATCAAAATGAACAAACTGTGGACAGCCTCCCAGCTTAGATCTCAAGGACGAATGTGCCCTGTGTTGCCAGGAAGTACAGGCCATGACCCTTGAGCTGCTGACAGTAGCATATGCTCTTGGAGCGGGCTGGGAGCCCCCTCCACCTCCCTCTCCTTCCCAGCACACTTAGAAATGCAGAAAATGGGGCTGGGCACCGGGGCTCACGCCTGTAATCCCAGCACTTTGGGAGGCCGAGGTGAGGGCACCGTGGCTCACGCCTGTAATCCCAGCACTTTGGGAGGCCAAGGTGAGGGCACCGTGGCTCACGCCTGTAATCCCAGCACTTTGGGAGGCCGAGGTGGGCTGATCATGAGGTCAGGAGACCGAGACCATCCTGGCTAACACAGTGAAACCCCGTCTCTACTAAAAATACAAAAAAAGTAGCCAGCTGTGGTGGCACACGCCTGTAGTCCCAGCTACTCGGGAGGCTGAGGCAGAATTGCTTGAACCCGGGAGGCGGAGGTTGCAGTGAGCCAAAATGGTGCCACTGCACTCCAGCCTGGGTGACAGAATAAAACTCCATCTCAAAAAAAATAAATAAAAAAGAAAAAGAAATGCAGAAAATGGCCAGGCGTGTTGGCTCATGCCTGTAATCCCAACACTTTGGGAGGCCAAGATGGGTGGATTACCTGAGGTCAGGAGTTCCAGCCTGGCCGACATGGTGAAACCCTGTTCTACTAAAAATATAAAAATTAGCCAGGCATGTTGGCAGACGCCTGTAATCCCAGCTACTCAGGAAGCTGAGGCAGGAGAATCGCTTGAGCCTGGGAGGCAGAGGGTGCAGTGAACCAAGATCGTGCCATTGTATTCCAGCCTGGGCGACAGTGAGACTGTCTCCAAAAAAAAAAAAAGAAAGAAAAGAAATGCGGAAAATGAACATCTCACCTCTGCACCTGGGCCTGGAGCCAGCAGACAGACAACGGGGGTGGGGTGGGGGGTGGGGGTGTGCCGGGAAAGGCACACTTGCCTTCAGCTTGAACTGCTTGGGGTCTGTCCCAAGAGCAAGCAGGAGAAGCAAGGAGTAAGGCACTCAGCCTCCAGGAGTCAGCAGCTGCCACCAGGCTCAGAGCCCCTGAGCCCTACCCTGCCTGCTGTCTTACCGGCTCCCCCTAGGGAATCCTTCTCGGTGGGGAAGATGGTCTTGAAAGAGGGGACTCAGATATCCTTTGTGCCATTCATGGGAGCTGAGCTGCCACCCAAGGGTGGTAGAAGTGGGAAGCTGAGTCGAAGTGATGAATATAGCAGCAAATGTTTATTCATCACTCACCTATACAAGGTACTATTTTGCACTTACGAACTTATTTCATGTAACAGCCCAATGGTACTCTTAACTCAATTTTTCTGGTAAATGAGGGCAGCCATATACCTCAGGCTATGGCCAGCTGGGCCCTGACAGCTGAGATGTGCAGCAATGTCAGGGGACTGAGGTCCCTGGTTACGTCCACCCCTGCACTTGTGGCGTCCGAACCTCCAAGCGTTTCGTAAAAGCGGTCCCTAGTGTCAGAGAGCCGAGCAGAGGCTGGCACTGCAGCTTCTGGGGGAAAGGCCTGCCCCATGTGCCTGAGCCTTCCTTGTCCCTTTTCCCTTCAGCCTCAAGGCTGTCCTGGCCGGGAGCCCCCCAGACAACACAGTGGACCTGTCGGGCATCCCACTGACCTCCCGAGACCTGGAGCGGGTGACCAGCTACCTACAGCGCTGTGGGGAGCAGGTGGACAGCGTGGAGCTGGGCTTCACAGGCCTCACGGATGACATGGTCCTGCAGCTGCTGCCGGCGCTCAGCACCCTGCCCCGCCTCACCACACTGGCACTCAATGGCAACCGGCTGACCCGGGCTGTGCTGCGAGACCTCACTGACATCCTTAAGGATCCCAGCAAGTTCCCCAATGTCACGTGGATTGACCTGGGCAACAACGTGGACATCTTCTCCTTGCCCCAGCCCTTCCTGCTCAGCCTGCGCAAGCGCTCACCAAAGCAGGGCCACCTACCCACCATCCTGGAGCTGGGTGAGGGCCCGGGTAGTGGGGAGGAGGTCCGGGAAGGGACAGTAGGCCAGGAAGACCCTGGAGGGGGCCCTGTGGCACCTGCCGAAGACCACCATGAGGGCAAGGAGACTGTAGCTGCAGCTCAGACGTGACATGGAAGTGAAGGGCCTCACCAGGGAGTCCTTGTTGGGTAGAATGCGCAAGGGGAGGGAGCTTCTATCAGGTGGGTTAAGGATATTGCCAAAAATTGGCCTGGGCCACCCACCTACAGAAAGGCAAACCATAGCATCTGGGGAAGGGGATGTGTTAAAACTTCCCATTGGTCCTCTCCATCTGCCCCCAATCCCATTATCTGCCATTTGGCTCTTAAGTCATCCCAGGCCCCAGAGAACGCTCAGCTCAGCCCATGGCCTTCCCCAAAGACTTGTGGAAATGGGCACATGGCTAGAGGTACTGGAAGCCTGAGCCATTGTGAAAACCAAGAGCTTTCCCCCAGAAAAATTAGACAGTAGGGCCCCTACCTGCATTGCATTACATTTTTCATTTAGGGGAACAAGCTCCAACCAGGTGAACGTGTCCCCACTCAAGGGAGGTGGGAATCTTTAGCAAAACTCCTGTAACTCAAGAACCTGGGGGGAAGGGGTTGGTTGCCAGAGACCCTAGTTCCATCTATGATACGGGTGGACTGAACGTGGTCTACCTCCTTATGGAGACTCAGCCCCATTTCTGAGACCCACCTTGTGATTCCAGGTATCTACCCATAGGACCAGCTATCACTATGCCCTTTAACAATCAGAGCAGCCTACGATGCCCTGTGGCAGTGCTCAGGACATGGTGCCCATGCATACAGGCATAAAGTCCTGTTCAGAAATCCCTTATCAACCTTCCCTACCCACTGCTGGCTGAAAAACTACCAGACTTCTGTGTGGGCTCTGATGTCCTTAGCATGCAGTCCAAGTGACAGGCCTGGCTTCCTTCTCCATCACCCGCTCAATTTCTTTGTGTATCTTTCTCAGTAGCAGACGGGGGTTTCCCGTGTCAGCGCAGGCTGCGTCTCGATCCTCCTGACTCAG